TTTCCTAACCTCTCGAGCTGAGACATTGAATAAAGAATCCATACGTAGTGGGCCTAAATCAATAAACTCAGACTGATCCAATCTTACATTCCTTGCACCATTACCCCACACCCTCAGAAGCCATTCCCATACATATTCTCCAGGTTTCTGTCAGTACATGTTAGCAAAATCAAGTAGGTCTTTTTGGGTATAGTGTATCACCTCCTCAGTCACACTTTCTATTTCACCTTTTGGTGCTCGCTTGGACTTGACTTTAGTTATGGGTCTCATAGCAACAATGGATGCTTGAGGCAGTTCCTGAAAGCATTCAGGAATGTCTTCCATGGCCTCTGCCTCCAACAATGACCCAGCAGGACCAGCTTGGCTAGTCCCATCAAACTGAGGGGGAGAGGATAATGGTTTTACAGTAATCTGTTCAGATGGGAGGGATTCAATGGAATTTACAGGCTCCATATCCTGATCTTCCCGATTATCTGTTCATATGTCCCCATTCCAGGTTGCAAGATCCCATATTTTTCCAATAAATGTCCTCACTTTAACGTCAGACATCATTCTGGATTGACAATTTAGTTGGCGTTGTAATTCAGCTACCCTTACAATAAGACTCTGGGTTTGGTTTTCAGCAATATCAGCTCTGTTACTAGAAGATAAAAGCCTTTCTTTCAGAGCACAGCTGGAAGCACTGAGGTCTTTTATGTGGTGCTTAAGCTGAGACTCAGCAGCTTTGAGCTCATCTCACTCTTTCACCACTTTATTCAGTGTAAGTAAGACCAACCAACTAGCTTCCTTATACTCCTCATTCTGACAAATTTGCAGAAAAGTATCAAATATCCAATCACCCAGCGCATCACTTCTCACAAGTACTTGATCTACTGGTGGTGCTATTTCGCATATTAATTTTGCCGCCTCACGCCATGGATTAGTAGGGCCCTCTTTACTAGCAAACGCAGAGTCACTAGTGCCATTAAAATTAATCAAACTGGAGAACCAATCTAGGAAGCCTATTCTTATGATTTTTTCTCTCTAGAACCATGCTCGGTACCAAATGTGTTAGA